GAACGAAATTTCAGAGAAAATGTTCAAAGTTTCGAGTCCGAGTTGCGAAACTTTGAAGTAAAATAAATCTGACAAAAATATATCCTGCCGTATGCTCGAAAGTACACGTACCGATAAACGTAAAATCGATAATGGTAAAAGCGTACGTAGCGCGGCGGCTAGTTGAAACATTGTAAATAAACGATTCGAAAGAACGAAAGGTTGTACTTCACGTACGACGCGTACGTTTCTAGAAACAGGTCCATTCTAGAAACAACGACGCAACAACGGTTTGCGGTCCGTCTTGCGCGATGCGATAGAAACGGACGTGTCGCTGCGCAAAATGGGAAAACGAGACGCGTTTGTATCTGTTGTCCGAATGGAATAATCCGTTCGCGAGGTCTAAAGGAGAGAATCGATCCATGGATGATCTCTCTGACGAGATGAGAATATCTCGAGAAAGCGGCGGCATGGTACCCCTCCACGGACGCACGTTCATAGCCATTACGCGGTGAAACATCAACGTACTCACCGTTGCAACAGATTGCCGTAGCGAGTAAGACGCAGGTTACATGGACGAATCTCATGTTTGCGGCGCAGACTCGACGATCACAGTCCGACGGTTTCGATGGTTCGACACAGAGAGCGAGTCGGGTAACGGATTCCTTCTGGTTGCGAAACAGCTAGAGAGAAACGCGCAACGTGCGACGCAAAACGTTTCTGGCTTCTGCTGAAATCGCACTGATCGCTGGTATGGAGCCTAGGGGCTAGGGGCTAGGGGCTAGAGGCTAGCTTCCACCGATTGCGACAGTGGCGACGCCACCTCACCTTTCCGAACATATTCCCTAGCTGGATGGTTACGACGTTCTTATTCGGTGGTTTTTCAATCGACGCTTTGTCAAATTGCTACGACACAGTTGATTGAGTTTCGCGGGAAAAAAGAGAGGGAAAGTCCGTCGTCATTTGCGTAAAGAAATGTTTGAGGATTGTCGACAAATCTCGACAACAGTTTGAGAAAAATGAGTAAATTCGAACGTTTAAAGGTGTAAGGTGGTATGGGGAGGGGAAAGGAAGAAAGGCAGAGACAATCGTTAGGATCGTAATTAGGATAGAGAGAGAGAGAAAGAGAGAGAGAGAGAGAACGAGTGGGAGAGAGAGAGGGGGGGGGAAGCGTACCAATCAGCGAAGAGCAGCAGGGTGAAAAGGGTAGCAAAGCGCATATGGAACAGGGACGGTTGTGTTTTGCAGAGCGTTCTTATTGGGTGTCGGCGCGCGGCTTCGCAGGGACATGGTGGCCAAGTGGCGCACTCTGTCGTCGGAGAGGGGAATCGCGGAGGGAACAGTCGAGGGAACGGGAATGCCGATGATGCGCGGTCAGCGGTCTGCGCTGGATCAGTGCTGGTGGTTGATGCGAGGCGAGTGTACGGCGGTGCACGATCGCTTCGCCAATACGGGCAGTTCGCAGTACGGACTGTTTTCGTTTCGCCGTCGTTTCGTTAAAGCGTGCTCGTACTACTTGCTGTACTACGCTGTACGCCGTACGGCGCGAAAGGGTGGAAAGGAAGGGTGGGAGGGAAGAAGGGAGTAGGCGAAACAAAGCGGGAGAAGCTCTCGCGAAACGAGACAGAAAATCGCGAATCGAGAAAGGAAGAAGACGAGAGAAAGAGAGGGAAGAGGGGAAAAAAGTCGACTGTGGCTGGTGAAGAATATCTCTCGGCGCGTAAAGCGTAGAGAAGAAACGAGAGGAAGGGAGGTGCGTAGAAAGGAAGCAAG